CCTTTTTCCCTGTAGACATAAATTTCTAGTTTGATGACTTAGACTTCGAATTTTTTCTTGATTTTTTGCATGCTCTTTAAACACAATATAAGAACCCCTCCCACCAAAAATTAGAATTTTTCGACTTCGGATGAATTAATTATGAATTTTCTAAGCGCCGGATTTTCAAGAACGGGAGCGGAGGCAAACGCGCCTTAGGAATGGAATTTCCCGATGATTTTTTGCATGGACATCTCAAATAACACATAGAAGGGATCTGCAAAGTTTCGTAGCGTTTCGATAACGTCTCGATTTATTTGAATTTTCGTCCGAAACGCGTGTAATTGAGTTTTTTTCAAGGGCGGAAGCAAACAAACGTCGGGCTACGGAATGAGTTCCGGTCTGGAATTTTTCATGCATTAATCTGCCACCAAATTGAGATGGCATGCCAAGTTTCATGCCATTCGGGCGATCCCTCGATATATTTCGGCTTTTCGCGTGTCGGGCCCCCGTGCGGTTTTTCCGACGGGAGCGGAGGCAAACGCGCCTTAGGGGAATAATCTCCCGATGGATTTTTGCATGCACTTCCCAAATAACACATTGAGAGTGTCCAAGGAGTTTCGTAGCGTTTCGACAAGCCCTCGGTCTACTTTCAATTTCCGACCGGAACGCGTGCGTGTGCGGTTTCTCCATGAACGGGAGCGGAGGCAAACGCGCCTTAGGGGAATAATCTCCCGATGAATTTTTGCATGGAAGTCCCAAATAACACATAGAAGGGATCTGCAAAGTTTCGTAGCGTTTCGACAATTTTGAATTTCCGGCCCGAACGGGCCCCCGTGCGGTTTTTCCGACGGGAGCGGAGGCAAACGCGCCTTAGGGGAATAATCTCCCGATGGATTTTTGCATGCACTTCCCAAATAACACATTGAGAGTGTCCAAGGAGTTTCGTAGCGTTTCGACAAGCCCTCGGTCTACTTTCAATTTCCGACCGGAACGCGTGCGTGTGCGGTTTCTCCATGAACGGGAGCGGAGGCAAACGCGCCTTAGGGGAATAATCTCCCGATGAATTTTTGCATGGAAGTCCCAAATAACACATAGAAGGGATCTGCAAAGTTTCGTAGCGTTTCGACAATTTTGAATTTCCGGCCCGAACGGGCCCCCGTGCGGTTTTTCCGACGGGAGCGGAGGCAAACGCGCCTTAGGGGAATAATCTCCCGATGGATTTTTGCATGCACTTCCCAAATAACACATTGAGAGTGTCCAAGGAGTTTCGTAGCGTTTCGACAAGCCCTCGGTCTACTTTCAATTTCCGACCGGAACGCGTGCGTGTGCGGTTTCTCCATGAACGGGAGCGGAGGCAAACGCGCCTTAGGGGAATAATCTCCCGATGAATTTTTGCATGGAAGTCCCAAATAACACATAGAAGGGATCTGCAAAGTTTCGTAGCGTTTCGACAATTTTGAATTTCCGGCCCGAACGGGCCCCCGTGCGGTTTTTCCGACGGGAGCGGAGGCAAACGCGCCTTAGGGGAATAATCTCCCGATGGATTTTTGCATGCACTTCCCAAATAACACATTGAGAGTGTCCAAGGAGTTTCGTAGCGTTTCGACAAGCCCTCGGTCTACTTTCAATTTCCGACCGGAACGCGTGCGTGTGCGGTTTCTCCATGAACGGGAGCGGAGGCAAACGCGCCTTAGGGGAATAATCTCCCGATGAATTTTTGCATGGAAGTCCCAAATAACACATAGAAGGGATCTGCAAAGTTTCGTAGCGTTTCGACAATTTTGAATTTCCGGCCCGAACGGGCCCCCGTGCGGTTTTTCCGACGGGAGCGGAGGCAAACGCGCCTTAGGGGAATAATCTCCCGATGGATTTTTGCATGCACTTCCCAAATAACACATTGAGAGTGTCCAAGGAGTTTCGTAGCGTTTCGACAAGCCCTCGGTCTACTTTCAATTTCCGACCGGAACGCGTGCGTGTGCGGTTTCTCCATGAACGGGAGCGGAGGCAAACGCGCCTTAGGGGAATAATCTCCCGATGAATTTTTGCATGGAAGTCCCAAATAACACATAGAAGGGATCTGCAAAGTTTCGTAGCGTTTCGACAATTTTGAATTTCCGGCCCGAACGGGCCCCGTGCGGTTTTTCCGACGGGAGCGGAGGCAAACGCGCCTTAGGGGAATAATCTCCCGATGGATTTTTGCATGCACTTCCCAAATAACACATTGAGAGTGTCCAAGGAGTTTCGTAGCGTTTCGACAAGCCCTCGGTCTACTTTCAATTTCCGACCGGAACGCGTGCGTGTGCGGTTTCTCCATGAACGGGAGCGGAGGCAAACGCGCCTTAGGGGAATAATCTCCCGATGAATTTTTGCATGGAAGTCCCAAATAACACATAGAAGGGATCTGCAAAGTTTCGTAGCGTTTCGACAATTTTGAATTTCCGGCCCGAACGGGCCCCCGTGCGGTTTTTCCGACGGGAGCGGAGGCAAACGCGCCTTAGGGGAATAATCTCCCGATGGATTTTTGCATGCACTTCCCAAATAACACATTGAGAGTGTCCAAGGAGTTTCGTAGCGTTTCGACAAGCCCTCGGTCTACTTTCAATTTCCGACCGGAACGCGTGCGTGTGCGGTTTCTCCATGAACGGGAGCGGAGGCAAACGCGCCTTAGGGGAATAATCTCCCGATGAATTTTTGCATGGAAGTCCCAAATAACACATAGAAGGGATCTGCAAAGTTTCGTAGCGTTTCGACAATTTTGAATTTCCGGCCCGAACGGGCCCCCGTGCGGTTTTTCCGACGGGAGCGGAGGCAAACGCGCCTTAGGGGAATAATCTCCCGATGGATTTTTGCATGCACTTCCCAAATAACACATTGAGAGTGTCCAAGGAGTTTCGTAGCGTTTCGACAAGCCCTCGGTCTACTTTCAATTTCCGACCGGAACGCGTGCGTGTGCGGTTTCTCCATGAACGGGAGCGGAGGCAAACGCGCCTTAGGGGAATAATCTCCCGATGAATTTTTGCATGGAAGTCCCAAATAACACATAGAAGGGATCTGCAAAGTTTCGTAGCGTTTCGACAATTTTGAATTTCCGGCCCGAACGGGCCCCCGTGCGGTTTTTCCGACGGGAGCGGAGGCAAACGCGCCTTAGGGGAATAATCTCCCGATGGATTTTTGCATGCACTTCCCAAATAACACATTGAGAGTGTCCAAGGAGTTTCGTAGCGTTTCGACAAGCCCTCGGTCTACTTTCAATTTCCGACCGGAACGCGTGCGTGTGCGGTTTCTCCATGAACGGGAGCGGAGGCAAACGCGCCTTAGGGGAATAATCTCCCGATGAATTTTTGCATGGAAGTCCCAAATAACACATAGAAGGGATCTGCAAAGTTTCGTAGCGTTTCGACAATTTTGAATTTCCGGCCCGAACGGGCCCCCGTGCGGTTTTTCCGACGGGAGCGGAGGCAAACGCGCCTTAGGGGAATAATCTCCCGATGGATTTTTGCATGCACTTCCCAAATAACACATTGAGAGTGTCCAAGGAGTTTCGTAGCGTTTCGACAAGCCCTCGGTCTACTTTCAATTTCCGACCGGAACGCGTGCGTGTGCGGTTTCTCCATGAACGGGAGCGGAGGCAAACGCGCCTTAGGGGAATAATCTCCCGATGAATTTTTGCATGGAAGTCCCAAATAACACATAGAAGGGATCTGCAAAGTTTCGTAGCGTTTCGACAATTTTGAATTTCCGGCCCGAACGGGCCCCCGTGCGGTTTTTCCGACGGGAGCGGAGGCAAACGCGCCTTAGGGGAATAATCTCCCGATGGATTTTTGCATGCACTTCCCAAATAACACATTGAGAGTGTCCAAGGAGTTTCGTAGCGTTTCGACAAGCCCTCGGTCTACTTTCAATTTCCGACCGGAACGCGTGCGTGTGCGGTTTCTCCATGAACGGGAGCGGAGGCAAACGCGCCTTAGGGGAATAATCTCCCGATGAATTTTTGCATGGAAGTCCCAAATAACACATAGAAGGGATCTGCAAAGTTTCGTAGCGTTTCGACAATTTTGAATTTCCGGCCCGAACGGGCCCCCGTGCGGTTTTTCCGACGGGAGCGGAGGCAAACGCGCCTTAGGGGAATAATCTCCCGATGGATTTTTGCATGCACTTCCCAAATAACACATTGAGAGTGTCCAAGGAGTTTCGTAGCGTTTCGACAAGCCCTCTGTCTACTTTCAATTTCCGACCGGAACGCGTGCGTGTGCGGTTTCTCCAAGGGGCGGAAAGCAAAGCAAGCCAACGTCGGGCTACGCAATGAGTTCCGGTCTGAATTTTTTCATCCATTAATCTGACACCA